TAAATTAATTTTTTAAAAAAACTTTATTAATAATTTTTTAATATGATTTTTTAAAAAATTATTTATTAAATATAATAATAATTTTAATAAAAAAATTTAGGACAAGTTTTTTTGTTATATATTATATATGTGATTGAATGCTTAGAAATATGCTTATCAATTGGTACAGATTTGTTCAGTGATTTGCTTTTTGATATTTATGAATACTGCAGTTCATCATAAATTATCTCAGTTCTCAATATTCTTAATCTAATAGAAATTATATTAAATTAAATATTTGTTTAACTTTTTAATCTATAGTTAATATTGTTATATTAAAATATTTATTTAATATATAGGTTAAAACTTGATTAAATAACATGATTTATTATTCATATCAAAATGTCAAATATTTTTGAAGATAATTTGGATTGTACCAATACAATACCTTTAGAGTTTTTAGATAATGATTCTAAAAATTGCTTTAAAATAATACTGAACCAGAAAGTATTAAGCCAGATAATGAAAAAATTACTAACATTATTCAAGATTATACAATATTATAATTAAAAAAATAAAAGAATTATCAAAAGTTTTAATTTATATAAATTCAAAAATGCAAAAATACTACACATGTAATATTAAATTTGTAACTTTTATATTAACTTCAATTATTCAAAAACATCTTAATGGACACTCAGATTTAATAACAAATAAGGATCAATTAACACTTAAACAATATTATTCAGCTTCAACTCAAGAAATACAATCTAATTTAGTAATTAAATGGATAACAATTGATAAATTTCTATTTTTAATAATTGAATCAAATAATTTTTACTTAATGGTTGATTCTTTTGATCCATTATATCAAATTCCAAAATTTCAAACAATTCAAAATATAATAATTTTATAATTTGAATAACATGTAAAATTATCAGATTATTTTTCAAAAATTCTTGAAAAAATTAGTATAACTGCTATGTTTGGACATTAATTAAATACAAAATATTTTTAGAATAACAAATTATTATATAGATAATAATTGGAACCTATATTATTTTACTTGGATATCACATGTTTTAAAGCAATTTATATAGGAAAAGCTATTTCAGAATCTATATTAGAATTAGTAAATGAATTCAATCTTCAAAATTGAATCTTAACTATTATTATAAAAAATGCATTCAATATAATTTTAGGATACAAATTATAAAAAAATCAATTAAATCCAGACAACTCTAATAATAGATTCATATATATATAATTTATACAGTATGTTATACTTTGAATTTAGTAGTAAATATAAGATTGAAAAATGTGATTAAATTTATCAAAAAATAAAAAAGTTTATTAAAATAATAAAAAAGCCAATTAATTATTTAGAAAAATCAAAAAAATTAGTTAAACTAATATTAAATAACAACACGAGATGGAATAGGATTTTAATATATTCAAATGATTTTTGTAAATGCATAATTATTTAGAATAATTAATATTTTGAGATAATAATTTATATAATTTGCAATCAGCATCTGAACAATGAATGAAAATTATAAATTTATTTGATTTATTTAATTAATTTAATAATGCAACAATTGAATTATCTGAATAAAATTATTCAACAATTGGACAGGCAAATAATTCTTATATTATTACAAAGCAATTTAAATTAACTATATAGGATAAATTATTTTGTAAAAATATTCTTGAATATATTAATAACAAATAAATAGAAAACAATATAAATTAACTTTATAATTATATTATAATTATAGTAAAACATTGAAAAAATATCTTACAGCATTACAAATTATTCAACCAAAATATTTATTGGCAATTTTTTATTCAAAAAAATCTCAAATATAATTGAAAATATTGAAAGTGAAAAATTTGTAGCTATATTTACAAATTTGGCATCAAATTTCAAACTTGCATATAAAAAAATGCAAGAATTCAATTTACAATATATAAAATATCCGATATATGATGTATTTGATTAATTTAATTGCAACAGACTTGGTTAAATTAAAAAATATCAAAGATTTAATTAGTAAATACAACAAGATTGTTAAATTTTTTCAAGAATAATATTGAAAAGTCATGTTTATTATAAAAATTAAGTAAAATATAAATTTGAAAGAATGAACTTTATATATAATGTAAAACATATTGATTATTATTATATTTTATCACAGATTCTATTTTATATTTATAATTAACTTTTAATTAAGTAAATAATAATATCTATTAATCTATAAATTAATTATTATTTTTAAAATTATATATATATATATATTTAATAGATAATTAACAATTATTCAAATATTATTTATAATATTAAAATATTTGATTTATTAAATAATAAAGAGTTTTTAAAATTGATTTACAAGTAATAGTTATTTGGATAATAATAAAAGAAGCAACTAATATACTTAGAGTAAATATTGCTAATTGAAAAAACTGTTTAATCATTTAATTAAGATAGTATTAACAATTTATCAAAATTTAATAAATAATTTATTTCAAAAAATAACAATAAATATATATAGTAATCAATTTAAAAAATTCCAATATCCTATTTATCTTTTATCATATTATATACATCTTTATTATAAAAATATTTATTTATTATTTTATTTATTTTTATAGTATTAGTTATTACAGTAATTTTTTAATTTTTTTAAATATAGAATTTAGAGAAGCTGCACTTATTGCTATTACTCTTTGGCAATGCTTAAATCTTATGCATAAAAAAATAGAGTTAATAATTCAACTTAAATTATTTGATACTAAGTTAACTTTATATGACTTATTATATATGATTGAAATAAATATACCAATTTTATGATAGAGATCTATTAAAACTAAACCTTAACACATAGTTGAACTGACATGTCAACTTTATTCTATTCCATCATTACAAACAAGTTGTGAAAAAAATTTTAATTTTAAAATGAATAATTAAAAGTAAGTAAACATGTTTAAATATTAATAATTAGAAGATGTTGCAAAAGTTCAATCATACTATATGGCAAATGTAAGATCAGAATTAAATAATCGTGAATAACTTCTTATAAAATTAAAATTATGTGAAGCTATTAATATTCTACAATTAATAAAACAGTGGCTTTAAATAAAGATAGCAATTTAACAAATTCGGAAGAATAATCAAAAAGTATTGAATTTGTACAAGATACATTACTTATTGGCAATATTGTTGATTTGTCTCTTTTTTTTTATCATAAAAGTCCATCAGATGCAAAACTTTTTTAGTATATATGTGATACTTGAATTGCATCAAATATCTTTACAATCTTAATCTATGGAATTAATGTTAACATATCTACAATGCTAACTATTATTATCTTAAATATACTTGATATATGCCACGGAGCTAAAGTAAGAACTAGTAACTTTCCATCGGATCTGACCTTCGCGGATCTATTTTCAAAAATCCACGCTAATTGTATAATAGCCGTTGACATCAAAATTCTACTTAAGCTACAAGTTCATCTTGTATGGTTTTGTAATCGCAAGCTATAAAATTTGACAGACTTATATTAAAACTCAATAGTATAATACACGTGATAACAGATTTTTTTTCACATACAATACCTAATGATTTATAATCAAATAAAAACATACTGTAAACTAATGTTAATAATCGAATAACAATTAAAATAAGTTAAAGATTACTTACCTTCTAAACTAGAACCTTTTGTTTTTATACCAATAAGAAATATATTAATATATTAGTTTATGATTAGTAACCTTATCGATAAAGCTCTTCGATTAAAATTTTCGTACCACGCTTTGTAAAGAATTGACTTTGATAGGATTCATCCGAACATGTATTATTATTTGGCAATTCACAATCTAATAATTCTTTTCTCTTGTTTTCTGCATCGACAAATTGATCTAGATCTTCTTTACCTAAATGCCATTTATCAAACTGTTCCTTTATCTCTTTGATATTCGATCTTTCAGATGGGTTCGCTTTCCAACATTTTTCCATTAAATCAGAAAACACTCTTGGAGTATCACCTGTAATTATAGGTCTTTTTCCTCCAATGATATTATGAATCAATTTACTATTATGTTGATTTTTAAATGGTCGATATCCTGCGGTGAATTCCCACATAATAATTCCAAAACTATAGATGTCAGAAGCCTGAGTATATGAAGATCCTGTTAAAATCTCTGGCGCTATATAAGATAGGATTCCATATATTTTATGACATCTGGAATTATAGTCAACTTCTCGGCATAACCCTAAATCTCCTATTTTAACTGATTTCTCCTTTCCACCTATTCCCATTAAAATATTTCCCGAATGAAGATCACAATGTATTAATCCATTGTCATGTATTCGCTCTAGTCTAATTTAAATTGATTTAATATTTATATTAAATAAATAAAGCGTCAATAGTAAAGATTTCTAATTGCGTATAACATACCCAGCTGCGATATAACGTAATTTCTCAATATTGATCTTCCATGTGATTTCTTTAAAGCGTTTTCTTAAATACTGTTCTAAGCTTCCGTCTTCTGCGTATTCCATAACTATAAGTAACTCTTTATGATCATTTACAGTAACTCCATAGTATTGTAAAATGTGTTCTTCAGAACTTGTAATTTCATATGAGACTACCTATTTTATACAGATAAATAACAAAAATCAACTCGTGCCTCTTGAAAAAAAAATTACAGATAACACTTACTTCTTTCATAAATGCAACTTCCTGGAATTTTTTGCTACTAATGCATTTTAAGGCCACTGTAATATTCTTTAAATTCTTTACCCAGATTGCTTTAAATATTTTTCCAAAAGCACCTTCTGTTAAGTATTTAACATCCATAAACTGAGAATATGGTATTTGATTCATATATGTATCTGACTCAACGGAGGTTGTTTTTGATTCTGTGGATCGATTTTTCATGATTTATGTTATTCCGCGCTCCCATATTCCAATTGGGTTATTTGGTTCTATTTCTAATGATCTGTTTAGATCTGATAATTATTCCTTATATGTACCCAACATTCTATAAGTTACCCCACGTCTACTTAATGCATACGAATTATTTGGTTCTATTTCTAATAATCGATTGAAATCCAAAAGCGATTCTTTATATTTACCCAACTTTCTGTAGGTTTCTCCACGTACACGTAATGCAAAAAAATTATCTGGTTCTATTTTTAAAGATAAATTAAGATCACGAAGTGATTCATCATTTTTACCCAACATTCTATTGGTTTCTCCGCGTATTCTTAATGTAAGGGGACCATATGGTTTTATTTTTAACGATTTATCGAGATCCAAAAGTGATTCATTATATTTACCCAACAATCTGTAGACATCCCCGCGTCCACATAATGCAAAAGAACAACAAGGCTCCATTTCCAATGATCTATTTAAATCCAAAAGTGATTCTTCATAATTACATAACATTCTGTAGGTTGTTCCGCGTATACTTAATGCTTCTGCATTATCTGGTTCTATTTCTAATGATCTATTGAGATCCTTAAGTGATTCGTTGTATTTACCCAGATTTCTATAGGTTTCTCCACGCCCACATAATGCAAAAGAATTACATGGATCTATTTCTAATGAATTATTAAAATCTGAAAGTGATTCATTATATTTTCCTAATATTCCATACGTTTCTCCGCGTATACGTAATACAAAAGAATTATCAGGTTCTATTTCTAACGATCTATTAAGATCTAATAGTGATTCATTGTATTTGCCCAATTTTCTGTAGGTTTTTCCGCGTTCACATAATGTAAAAGAATTATCTGATTCTATTTCTAATGATCTGTTAAAATCTAAAAGTGATTCATTATATTTACCCAACATTCTGTAGGTTATTCCGCGTATATTGAATGCAAAAGGATAATCTGGTTCTATTTCTAATGATCTATTGATATCAGAAAGTGATTCATTAAATTTACCCAACAATCTGTAAGCTATTCCGCGTGTACGTAATGCAAGAGCATTATCCGGTTCTCTTTCTAATAGTCCATTAAGATCTGAAAATAATTCGTCATATTTATGTGACTTTCTGTATGTTTCTCCGCGACCAGATAACACAAAAAAATTAACATGAGGTACTCCTACTGATTTTACAATCCCGTAAATATTCATTCTAGACGTATGGTATATATGGGAATTCCACGAAATAAAGCTGTTACATGGCATATTATTCAAACATTGGATAACTCCTGCAGATTTTATGTCTGAAATATCTAAAATACAAGACGTATAGGATATATGAGAATCCAACGAAATACCGTTGTTGTATGGTATATTATTCAAATATCTTTCAAAGTTTTGCGATTTTTCAATTTTCTTAATCTGGTCTTGTATTTCACTGAAGCCTTCTGACTTCAAGCGTACATACAAATCCCAAAGATAAATACATAAATCTTTTGAGTCAGGTCGATTTTCTGGATTTTTGTCCCAACATCTTTTAATTAAATCGATGACTAACGGCGGAGTAATATTTACATAAATCTCTGGACGAACGCCTTGAGTAATTCGTAACGCAAGATAGGAATCACACTCAACATTAAAGAATGGTATGAGTCCTGTCGCTACTTCATTAATGATTATTCCAAAAGAATAGATATTTGCTGCCATTGTATATTCTCCTCCACATAAAACTTCTGGCGCAATGTATGGCAATACACCAAATATTAGGTTATTCTTCCCTCCCTCCAGTGATGATTTGTAATCGACCGATTTACAAGATACAATATCTGTGATGAAAGATACTAAACATGAAAGAACAATATTCCCGGTGTGCAAATTTTTATGAACTAAATTTGCTTCATGGATATCTCTGAGACCTTTAGCCGCTATATATAGGATTTCTAATTTTTGATTCCATGTTAATGTTAGAAAATTCTTTCTTAAATAATTACGAAGGCTATCATCTTTTTTAAAATCCATAATCATCATGAAATCTTCAGTTTCGGGATCTCTTGTTATTCCAAAACATTTTACTATATTGCTAAGCTCATTATGTAATCGCGTTTGAAAATTAGTGCATAATTAATTTGATAATATTTTATTATTAGTCAAGCTTTGTCATTAAATATAATAGAAAATAACCTACTTCGTCCAAAAACTGCCTAGTTATATTATTCAAATTGTATAAACTTTTAAGAACAATATAAGTGTCACCACTTCTCCGCCATTTTTTAGTCTCATATACCAAGTATAAAATGAATCCATTCTTCCATTTTGCTTTATAAACCTTTCCGTAACCGCCTTCTGCAATATAATAAATATCCGAGAAATTTTCGAATGGAACCCATTCCAGAACATTATGACGATTGACAGCGCTATTTTGGATGTCCCTAATAAGCTTATCGATCATACAATTACCACTACTCCACTGAATCTTTTGGAAGTGCTTAGCGTTACATGTCAAGCACCATTTGTGGTCAGTTTTCGCTCGCCCACAATATTCACATATTCCATATTGTGTGAAACCAAAATCTTCATTTAGTTCATTTAATTGTGACTCAAACATTGTACATAAACTATCTTGTAGCGCCTTTGTGTTTCTGTAAACTCGTAATAAAATTCGTCAAAGCGTCTGCTATGGTATGTTTTATGGAAAAAATGGCGTCGCGACGATCGGTTGTTCCCAAAAATGTAACCCTGTGATAAGGCTGAAATCACATGCTTATTTTCACTGAATCTGAGCTTACTTTGATTTTATTATAGATTTTCAAATGCAATTAATCGTATAATTATACATTCATCTCTTTCAGTAAATAATCTCGGGCATCTTGACTTTGGTAAATCTATTACAAAGGCGGACTTTTTAACATTTTTGCTTATTCACACTATTAATTATTGTACAACACATTTCTTTAATTGCAATAAAGCGTGAAGAAAAATCTTGAACATGGACATAAATCCGTGCACATTTTTCATTAGGAATTCGAACCATTTTATACTTAAAAAGTATAATATTATGATAATAATAACTACAAATAAAGTCTTTTTTTTTTTTTACCAAAAATTATATAACTACTATAATTTTTTTATATCATACCGGGAATTGCTATTTTTAGAATCATGTAAACCTTTATTATGCAAAGAAGCCTGTTTTAATGAATTTGATAGAATTTCATCTGAATTCAATGCCTCTATCGTAGCTCTCTGAATTGAAATGGTCTAACATAATGCGATGGCCCGAGATTTCAGGTTGATTTTGTTTGCTTCAATCCAAAGTTTCAAATCGATAATGTGGAAGTAAGTGCTGTACCAGCTCTTTATCCAGAAATTCTAATCTGTCATCAGGTGCATTTCTCGGAGAAAATACAAACCGAGTTAATAACTCAAGATATTGGATATTTTCATTATTCTTATTGTTCAAACAATTATAGTAACAATGAGTTATATTAATTTGTATAAACTTATGTGATATTTTAAAAATGTATATAAAGAATATGCTCAGCATTTCAATAAAATTCAGTGATAATTAAACATAACTAGCAAATGCGATATGGATTGTATATTAATATTGTATTGTTTATAATGATATTAATAAAGTCAAATTGAATATATAATTGAAAGTTTGTTTGATAATTTTATTTTCTGATCTGAAATAAATCTGCATTATAATTTTTTTTTGCTCTATTGTGTTCGAAAAAAAATAATAACAAATATATTCATATGAATTCACTATATACTAATTGAAAATTAGGGATGTTCCAGATAAAGTCTTAAAAATTGCCTCTTTTGAACTAGCTGAGACAAGCAAATTCAGCTTAAATAATAAGACTAAGACCTTGAGAATATATAGAATTGGTATCGGTCCTTTGGATTTATAACAAAAAAATAAGTGAAAAAAGATTTAAGATAGGAATTTTATATGATAATGGATAAAATAGAATTGGTTAAACAATATTCTTTCAACTTCCTAAAATATGAATTAACAAATATTGAATGAAAATAGATATAATAGTAAGACATATATGTGATTAAATGCTTAGAAATGTACTTATCAATTGGTACAAACCTGCTCAGAGATCAGTTTTTGATATTCATAAATACTGCTTCATTATATATAATTCTAGTTCTCAATGTTCTTAATCTAATAGAATTATATTAAATAAATATTTATTTAACTTTTTAATCTATACTTAATATTGTTATATTAAAATATTTATTTAATATGTAGGCTAAATTTAATTAATTAATATAATTTATTATATATAAAATCTGATCTAATTATTAAAATTTTAATTCTTTAACATCAAAATATCAAATATTTTTGGAAATAATTTGAAATTTATCAATTAAGATAATTTTAACAATACAATTCCTTAATAATTTTTGGGTAATGATTCTGAAAATTGCTCTAAAAATAATACCAAATCAGAAAATAATAAGTTACATAATGAAAAAATTATTAGCAATATTGAATATCATATAATATCACAATTCAAAAACAAAAGAAATAATCAAAAGTTGAATTTATATAGATTCAAAAATATAAAAATACTACATATGTAATACTAAATTTATAACTTCTATATTAACTTCAACTATCCAAAAACATCCTGATATAAACTCAACTTTAATAATAAATGAAGATCAATTAACACTTAAACAATATTATTCAGTGTCAACTCAAGAAATCAAAGCAAATTTTATAATTAAATGAATAATAATTAACATGCTTCCATTTTCAATAATTAAATTAGATAATTTTCGCTTAATAGTTGATTATTTTGATCCATTATTACCCGATGCATGACGATAGTCATGTAAGGATTATTATCGCGAAGATTATCCTACATGTGACTTTTGTAGTACAGGAATTGTTATTTATGGAATGATATAATGATGAGATCATTAGTGCTTGTTTTCTTCGCTGCCCGATTCTTATCTGGCTTTTCGTAAAGACTACCTTCAAGTTCAAATGACTGACACAAATATATCAAAAACAGACCTTGAAAACATTTGTCAAGCCCTTGGTATTGTTATTGACGGTGTAAAGGTGGACCTGATTCAAAGATTGAGGAAGCACCTAAAAGGGAAAAGCCATGCTGGAAGCAACGACACTGAGCTAACCCGTAGAAATGAGGAGGAAGGTCAAGACACAACAGGCCTTGACCACCTCTCAGATACATCAGAAATAGATTTGAACCATCAAGCAAGAACTTTAAGGGAATTGGCACACTTGTCACGAAAAGAAACAGAACCACGGAATTCCTTGGATAGAGAACAATCACTGAGTCTTGAAAATGACAGACTGGAATCTAAACAGAATTCACTAAACAAAAAACGTCTTCTATCAAATGATGAGGATTGTGAACTGACAGAAAGTAAAATATTAACAGAATTTAAGCAGTTAGAAAGTGCTGTGTTAACAATGAATGATAAGTTAAATACTGTAACGGCACAAGCACATGATACAAAACAAAAAGTCGAAGTGAACGAAACCTGGCAGAAATATAAGTTTGAAAAATCACACGATCAACATGAGTATGATGCCTTACGGAAAATTGGCAAAGAATTAGACCTAGCAATGGAATCTCGCAGTACGATGGAAGTGATGGATCATATAAATAATGCCCGAGAAATAGCATCCAATCGTATATTTACATTAAGAGTAGCCGAAGGATATGGCTGGGATATTGCATCAGCCTTACCTGACACACAGAATGATTGGATGAAAGGGAAGGATTTGTTAATTGAAAAAGCAAAGACATTAGTGGAAGTAAAGAAAGTAAAGTGACAAAAAACATATGAACTACCAAAATCAAACAACTATACCCATTGGGGAAACAACTATCGGGATTCAGAAAAGTTTTTTCGGACCAACCATCGGGGCAAAAACAGTAACCCAAACTCTGGCAAGTGTTACATCTGTGAAGGATATGGACATTATGCGAGTGAATACCCATCAGACCCAAATAAAGACAACTACAAATATCGAACTTACCACTCACGAGAATATACCTCTTACAAAAGCAAATACGATCGAAGCTATAACAATGGAGACAATGAAAACAGGAAGCATGATTGACTATATTTGGGCGCAATATCATATACCAGTAACTGGGCGCTTGCACATGAGACAATACGTAAATTATTGGAAGACAAAAATACAGCCATCAGAACTAATAATAAACTGGTTAAAAAATGGCATCCCTTTATTTCCAAAAAAACTGTTAGTACTTGCAAACCAACCGGATCCTCCACACTATCCCTTAACCGAAGAGCAAAACATTTGGTTAGAGACAGAAATACAGAGGCTAACGGAAATAAAAGCAATTACCTTGATTTCTTCAATGAAAATATGCCCAACAATATTACTGAAAGTAAGTCCCATATTCCTAACACCAAAGAAGGGTCACAAAAAATGAAGGTTAGTAATCAATCTCAGACGGTTAAATGCAACGTTACCAGAAAAAAGTTTCAAGTTCGAGGGATTTAGAACATTTCTTCAAATGATTGGCAAAAACTGGTGGATAATTATACTAGATCTAAAAGAAGAATATCATCATATTTTAATGGACAAGAAAGCTCAAAGATTATTGGGGTTCCAAGTAAAGTGAAAATGGTATCACTATCGTGTGATGCCCTTTGGACTAAACCAAGCAGTATGGGTTTTTTCAAAAATAATGCGGGCATTGATTGGCCATTGGTGATCTCTAAGAATATCCTGTGGAAACCATATAGATGATATATGTATTGCCAATCCCAATCAAGAGATATTATTACAAATCAGAGATTTGACAATTCTTCCGGACTTGGCAAAATGTGGTTTTATACTAGCCGACAAAAGTCAATTAAACCCAGCCCAAAAGGCAAAATTTTACGGTTTAATTTTAAATACAGTGACGGGAATTGTATCTGCTTCAGATACAAAAATAAAAAACATACTTTACAACTTACAGAAAGTTCTAACAGCAAAATCATTAACAGTACGACACCTAGCATCTACAACTGGAAAACTGATGAGTATAAATCAAGCGTTTGTATATGCAAAAGTTCGATGCCTGAAATTTTACACAATAATCGATTCAACACATCGGGAACCATGGGAATGGAACAATCATGTAAAATTAACAATTCAAGCAAAAAGCGATCTAAGATGGTTAATAGAGAATCTAAAAGAGAAAAATGGAAGACCTGCATGGAAACTATCCCAAATTATTCCTATTTTTGTTGATGCTTCAACCGTAGGATGGTCAGCTATACTGAAAGACAAAAAAGCATTCGGAAACTGGGAATATCAACATTTACACACAGATATAGCCTATTTAGAGGCCCTAGCAGTATTACTCAGTCTCGAAGCATTTATTTTAGATATAAAACATCGATAGATTACAATATTTATAGACAATTGTGTAGCATGCAAAACAATAGAAGCAGGTGGAAAGCAACCATGGCAAAAGAAAATAATGCGAGAAGTTTGGAGTCTTTGCAACCATCACAATATACAAATTCACGAAATTCAATGGATCTCAACTTATTTAAACCCAGCCGACGAACTAACAAGATTTTTCGATGATTCTGATTGGATACTAGCACAAGAAATTTTCAAAACAATAAATCTAAAATGGGGTCCATTTACAATAGACAGAATGGCAAGCTATTTGTCAAAAAAGTTAAACCGTTTCAACAGTCGCTACTTTTGTCCAGAATCAGAAGCCACTGATTGTTTTACTTAAGAATGGAATCTGGAAAACAATTATATATGCCCTCCATTAAGCATGATACACAGAGTACTAGAGCACGCAATACAAAACAAGCACTAATGATCTCATCATTACATCATTCCATAAATAACAATTCCTGTACTACAAAAGTCACATGTAGGATAATCTTCGTGATAATAACCCTTGCATGACTATCGTCATGCATCGGGTAATTATTCTCACTCAGATTTTATTAATTAAGAAGAAACAAAACGGAAAAATAAAAGAGAATCGATTTTTTTTTTTTTTTTTCAAAAACCCATTTTCGCTGACGTATTTTGCACTGCTGTTGAAAAGGCTCTGAGATATAACGTAACTGATTGAGATAACCATCCACCAATACTCATAATTTGCGGTAAGCTTAAGCCTGCCTTCATTGCTTCTGTTGCCCCTCCAATACGTATACTGTGTCCTGAATACTTGCCTGTTAACCCTGCATGTCTTACAATTCTTTTCACAATAGTACTTACTGCGCCTGTTGTCATTTGTTTACCATTCACATTCAAAAATAGAGGATCCTGATCGTTAAATTCTGTTCTTAGACTTAAGTATGCCAAAACCAAGCTTAACGGGCAGTATTTTGACTCTGTTGATTCAATCGGTATAAATTTCCCTTTTGCAAATTGATCTGTTTTGGATCTGTTTATTCTTATCCAACAAAGATTTTTTGCAA